TATATAAACACATATATATATAAACATATATATATATATATATATATATATATATAAACATACATATATGTCTAGATGCACATGAATCTACCTTAAATACATTAAACACATCAACTACATTTAATATATATATATATATGTACAAGCATTTATTTATTTATATATTTATTTATTTATTTATCTTACTTGTTGTGTAATAAGAAGAGAAACGTCTTCATTGGAGTGTACGGGTTTGAGCGCCTCAATAATTTTTTCAAGGACATTTCCTGTTTGATTTATTATTATTTTTTCAGGGGCAAATAACAGCAAAACAACTAAACGCCTCAAATGCAACACTTTTATCGATATGTCGCGGCCCCGAGAAGCAAATACCTATTAAACAAACAAACAAACAGCAGCAGCAGCAGCAGCAGCAAAAGCAGCAGCAGCAGTATAGTGGAAATAATACTGATACAAAGCCCTAAGTGCAGCATATAAAAATATGTTATATATGTACACTCAAGAATATATATATATATATATATATACATAAATATATATCTATATATATCTGCATATCTTTATAACTCTATTAGGGTTTAGGGTTTAGGGTTTAGGGTTTACGCCTGCGTTTGGGGGGGGAAGCAGCACATCTAGTTTGGGTGTATCCCCAACTAAGGCGCATGCAAGGGCCTCTCCAAGGGCTCTTATTGTTCTTCGATCGCAAGACAGCAGCAGCGGCTGCTGCAGCTCATCTAGCAGCAAACGCCGCAGCGATGCTGCTGCTGCTGCTGCTGCTGCTGCAGGAAACAGCCGCAGCGGGAACGACTGTAATAGAGACAGCAGCAAAAACCGATACAAAAAACCCTAAACACAAACACACACACACACAAAACACCCCAAACCCTAAACCCTAAACCCTAAACCCTAAACCCTAACAAAACCGTAAGCTGCAGGCAAGTCCTAATCCCTTAACTCTAGACCATCAACCGTAAACGGGGTAAATCACAAACCCTAAAATCCAAACCCTAAACCCTAAACCCTAAACCCTAAACCCTAAATATACCTGAGGGCCTGAGCTGCCCATCGCATGCGCAATACTCCCTTGCAATTCTTCTGTGAGGGTTTGCAAGAATAACATCGTTAGGGGGCTTCTCCTGTTTAGCTGCTTCAGCTGCAACCAAACCACAAACCCTAAACCCTAAACCCTAAACCCTAAACCCTAGGATAGCCCAATAATGTCCCACAGAAGCCACAAAAATACGCGTGAGGGTTTAGGAGTGCCTCCCTGTGTTACTACCAAGTAGGGTAGATTAGGGTAAAGGGTATATTAGGGTTTAGGGTTTAGGGTTTGTTAGGGTTTAGGGTTTATTAGGGTTTAGGGTTTTTTCGCACATCTGCACACTGCATGAGGAGCGCTGCAAGCCCAAAAACCGCAACAACATCAGCAGGGGTTGTTGATGAGGAGACAGAAGAAGAGATAGCTAAGTGCTTCGTTCTTCTTAAAGCTTCTTTGTTTGCTTCATGTATACAACTGGGAGCAGCTAATGAAGGCGGCTGCAGCAACGCAAGCCGCCGCTGCAGCTCCTGCAGCAACCACGCGCTCTCCTTCCTGCTGCTGCTGCTGCTGCTGCTACTGCTGCTGTCGGTCTCAAACACTTCCCCTGCTGCTGCTGTTGCTGTTGCTGCTGCAGCATCGCCCGCTCTCAAGTACCCGTGCTTCCCTCCCGCAGCCACACCAACAGCAGCAGGAGCCCCCGCAGCAAGAGCAGCAGGAGTATCCGCAGCAGCAGCAGCAGCAGCAGCAGCAGAAGGAACAGCAAGTGCTTGATTAACGACATCAACAGGAGGAGGCAAAGGAGGAGAGCTATCAAACCCGTTAGGGTTTGCTGCTGCACCCGCTCGATGGGTAAAAGAACCAAAGGCAACAAAACAACATAAACGAAACAGTTCGTGCATATCCCGCCGCACCTGCGCATACACCCCAAATATGCACACCTGCATATACAGCTCAAATATACACATCTTTACATACAACCCAAACCCGCAGAGCTGTACATACACCCTAAACCCTCACAAGCTCTTTGTGTGTGTGCAGAACAGGTTTTAGCCTGAATAGGGGTAAATAACGTTTAGGGTTTGTTGTTGTTAGGGTTTAGGGTTTAGGGTTTAAGGTACCCGTTTGCAAGCTAAGAAGTGCTCTTTTGCAGGTTTTGTTCTGTCTAAAGCGAAGATAACAGCAAAAACCCAAAGCACAGACAGCGGCTGGCGAGGAGAAGAGACAGACAGAGACGTTACACGCCCCAGCAGCTTCCATACAACCTCCACCTCACTCTCCGTGTTGCTGCTGCTGCTGCTGCTGCTGCTGCTGTTGATGTTGGTGCTGGTGCTGCTGTTGTTGTTGATGTCGGTGTTGGTGTCGAAGGTGGCGCCTCCTGCGTCGAGGCTCGCCGCTGCTGCAGCTGCTGCGGCAGCTGCTGCTAGGGGTGATTGCTGCTGCTGCAGTAGCAGCAGCTGCTGCTGCTGCTGCTGCATGCGGCAGGCGGAAGTGCATAGACAACAGAAACGAACGAAAGGTGGAGGATATGCAGAAATAATCAAAGTGTAAATAAAATGATATATAATGCTCTCGCGGGGGTTATGTGCTTCTGCTAGACCTGCCTGCTGCAGCAGCTTCTCCATGCTGTCGCGACCTGCTGCTGCTGCTGCTGCTGCTACTGCTGCTGCTGCTGCTTTAGCTGCCGACGCGTCTGCTGCTGCTGTTCCTGCTCCTCCTGAAACAACAGCAGCATTCACCCCTCCTGCTGCCCGCTCTGAAGCGTGCCCCCCATCTGCTGCTGCTGCTGCTGCTGCTGCTGCTGCTGCTGTTGCTGTTTCCTCAGCAGCAGCCAGAGGCGAGAGATGCAGCAAACAAGATGAGGGGGAGACAGAAGCAGAGGCAACACCGCCTAACCCTAAACCCTTGGAAGCGTCTTGCAGTAAACCCAAAAGAGGACCCAGTAAGGACCTGCATCACAAACCCTAAACCCTAAACCCTAAACCCTATATACTAAACCCTAAACCCTGAAGGTGAACCAAAACACTATGTCTAAACCCTAAACCCTAGCCGAAGGCTAGAAGCCGGCGCGAGTATTGCAAGAAGCTGCTGCTGCAGCACCACAACAAGATGGAGCACGCAGTAGCGATTAGGGTTTAGGGTTTAGGGTTTAGGGTTTAGGGTTTACTGGAGCCTCGCGCGACGCGAGAGACGCAGCAGCAGCAGCAAACTTCTTAAATTTTCGCCGCTGCTGCAGAGACCGCCGCTCCAAATGGAGACACAACTGGCAGCGAATCTCCGGGGAAAGCTGCGCGCAACCGCAAACCCTAAACCCTAAACCCTAAACCCTAAACCCTAAACCCTAAACCCTGAGCTTTAAACCCTCGAGGGAATGTGGAGTCACGCAATCAGCTCAAAGGCTAGAAGCTGCGGTTTGCAGGGTACAACACTCAAGGTGAACAGAATAGGGTTTACGCGATCAAGGGTTTAGGGTTTAGGGTTTGTGCCTGAGGGTGTAGAGGGCAGAGCGTGCGTCCTCTGGTGTAGGGTTTGAAGCTCAATGCCTAGTGATTTAGGGTTTAGGGTTTGTGAGTCTAATGGAGTTGTACGGTTCACGACTGAGGGTTTATGAGAGATTAAGAATAATGAAGGTTTAGGGTTTGTGAGAGTTTAAGGTTAATGAGGGTTTAGGGTTTATGAGGGTTTAGGGTTTATGAGGGTTTAGGTTTATGAGGGTTTAGGGTTTATAGGGGTTTAGGGTTTATGAGGGTTTAGTGTTTATAGGGGTTTAGGGTTTATGAGGGTTTAGGGTTTATAGGGGTTTAGGGTTTATGAGGGTCTAGGGTTTATAGGGGTTTAGGGTTTATGAGGGTCTAGGGTTTATAGGGGTTTAGGGTTTATGAGGGTCTAGGGTTCACCTAGCAAACAGCCGGTCTAGAATTTGGGTTAGCAGCGAAAGGGCTGCCTCATCTGCATGCGACAAGTGGATGCCTGTGCAGTCGCTGAGTTGCTGCTGCTGCTGCTGGTTGCTGCAGCCAGCAGCAGCAGCAGCACCTGCTGCTGCTGCTGCATTGTCTAGAGGCTCTACAGTATCATACAGAAAAACCTCAGCAGCAGGCCAGGCAGCAGCAACGTCTCCGCTGCTGCTGCTGCTGCTGCTGCCATATGGAACTCTATCTGCATTCTGCTGCTCCTGCTGCTGCTGCTGCTGCTGCAGGGGAGGCAGCACAAGGTTTGCTGCTGCTACACAAGCTGAGAGCATCATGTGTACAGCAGCAGCAATTGCGGGCAGCCGCTGCTGCAGCTTCTGCTGCAGCGCCTCCTCTTCACTAACAGCAGCAGAATGCCACGAGAATAAATCTAAAAAAGGCGTCAACCCCCCTGAACAAAACAATAAACCCTAAACCCTAAACCCTAGAGAGTGCACACGCAGCCAATGCCCTGCAGCTTCAGACTTAGATATACACCCTAAACCCTAAACCCTAAACCCTAAACGCTGCGCCCTCAGGTTGTTACCTCTAGGCGGCGAGACCGTGACAGGTCCCCAAGGGTTTGCACTTTAGGGTTTAGGGTTTAGGGTTTAGGGTTTAGGGTTTAGCCTCTCACCTGTCTCTGCAGCCGACTCTTTAGCCAATTCACTCTTTGAAACAGAGTCCAAGGAGAAATTTAAAACGCCGAGAATACCCCGCAAATAAGGCAGCAGCATTCGCGAACTCAAACTGCTGCTGCTGCTGCTGCTGCTGTTGCTGCTGCTGCAGCAACTGTTGCTGCTGCGATATGACGGTTTCGCACTGCGGGCGACGGCGGCGCGCAGCAGCAAACGGCAGAAGAAATCCAAGAGAACCACAGAAACTGGCTGCAGCTGAGCAGCAGGAAGGTGCCTGTACACCCCAGCAGCAGCAGCCGCATCAGCAGCAGAAAGAACAGCAGCAGTAGTAACAGCACCAAAATCAGGAGCAGCAGCAGCAACAGCGAGACGAAATGCAGCAGCAGTAACAGCAGCAGAGTCCAGTGCAGCAGCAGCAATAACGAGAAGAAGAACAGCAACAGCATACTCCAGTCTAGGGTTTAGGGTTTATTTAGGGTTTAGGACGGTTTAGGGTTTAGGCTCACTGCAGCAGAAAGAGGGAGAGTTGCGTTGCCTCGTCGACTGCTGCATCTCGTGCAGCAGCAGCAGCTGCTGCTGCTGCTGTTGCTGCTGGACCATCAATCCGCATGGCCAGCAGAAGCCCCCGCAGCAAACCCTGAAAGTCCTCGCTAAGGGGCGTCAGACGCTGCAGCTGCAGCAGCAACAGCAAACAGCAGCAGCAAACAGGAAGCAGCAGCAAAGCACAGCATGATTCTACTAAGCGAAACCCAACAGCAGCGTCTACATCATCATCAGCAGCAGCGGCTGTTGTTGCAGCTACTGCTGCAGCTGTTGCTGTATTAGCAGCGTGCATCCCCCCGTTGCTCACCAGTGCGAAACCCTAAACCCTAAACCCTAAATCCTAAACCCTAAACCCTAAACCCTTAACCCCAAAACCGCGTAACCGCTCACTTTGGCTTTCATCTGCTGCACGCCCAAGGCAAACAGAGGAAAATGCTGCTGCTGCTGCTGCTGCTGCAGTGCTGCAGATTCAGATGCTTCAGCGGCAGCAGGTGCTGCAGGTTGCGCAGGATCAGCGGATGCAGCAGCAGCTGCTGCTGCCCCCGAAGGCGACGGCGGCTGCTGCGGCAGCTGCTGCTCCAGTAGCTGCTGCAGCTCCTTGCTGCTGCTGTCAAGAATGAATTTGCTGGCAGGAGAGAAGCCCGCAGCAGCCTGGCTGGAGTGTACGATGACGACACGAAGTAGCTGCAGCAGCTGTGACTGCAGCAGCAGCAGCAGGAAGCACAGCGGCAGCAGCAGTCAATATCGTTCTACCTACCTCTCTAAATATCACTGCTTGCTGCAGCCGTATTGCTGCAGCAACGCGGCACACCCGGCGGCTAAACCCTAAACCCTAAACCCTAAACCCTAAACCCTAGACCCTCACCTGCGCAGCGTAGTCTATTTGCACTGCAGCAATAAGCCTGTCTACAAGTGCATACGAGAGGAGGCAGCAGACTTCCCTCGCTCTTGCTGCTGGCTGCAGCGAGGAGACAAACGAAGCCAGCAGCTCGCAAGCCTTTCCATGAAGAGCAGCAAACCTGCTGCAAGGTGCTGCTGCTGCTGCTGCTGCTGCTGCTGCTGCTTGTGCTGCTCCTGATACAGGTGAGGGTGTGCATGTCGCAGGGAAGGACGCCGGATACTCCGCTAGTGAAGCCACACCATAGGCCCCTGTGGCTGCTGCTGCTGCTGCTGTTCCTGCTGCTGCAGCTCCTGCTGCTGCTGCTGCTGCTGAGGGAGGCAGACGGAAGCAAATGAAGCGCAGCAGCACTACACAAAACAAATCGACATAGTCAACAACAGAGAAGTCGCTGTACGTCCACGCCTGCCAATCTGCTGCTGCTGCTGCTGCTGGGGTGTTTGCTGCTGCTGCTGCTGCAGTCGTCCAGCGCCCAGGCGATTGCCCTGCATAAAGCCTCATACAACCGTAAACCCTAAACCCTAAACCCTAGTGGGCCCTAAAACCCTAGGGTTTAGGGTTTAGGCCAATCCTAAACCCTAGGTCGTACAGAAGAGCAGCCGCGCCTCCTCCATCTGTTGACGGTCAGGGTTTAGGGTTTAGGGTTTTGAAATCACAAGGGCGTAGGGTTTTTCAGTTAAGTGCTACGGGCTTAAGGCTGGCAAAAGACTAGGGTTTAGGGTTTAGGGTTTAGGGTTTATGCACCTCTTGCTGCGTTTGCTGCTGCCCACGAGTGCGCCTGCACAGCGTTTGACTGCAGCAGATTCTCGCTAACATAAAAACACTGCATGCGCTCCTGCAGCAGCTGCCCCTCAAACAGCAGCAGCAGCTGCAGCAGCTCTAACCCGCGATATGCTGCAGCAGTTGCATCCATCGCAGCAGCGGCAGCAGCTTCCTCCGCCAGCTGCTGTTGCAGCTGCTGCTGGAGCACCCCCTCCAGCTGCTCCTCATCTACAGGCACCTGCCCCTGATGCTGCTGCTGCTGCTGCTGCAGCGGTGGAGGTGCACTCAATATGCAGTCAAACACTGGCAGCAGCAGCTGTGGGGCGTTATCTAACGCCAGACGCACAAATACGCGGGCAGCGTACCTGTGCAGACACCCCAAAGAACAGCAGCAGCAGCAGCAACAGCAGCAGCAGCAACAGGCTTTTCATACACTTCAAGGCTCTGGGAAGCCTCACCACACCTCAAAAGGCTAGATGCTCAACAGGCAGCAGCAGCAGCAACAGCAACAACAGCCGCAGCAGCTGCTGCTGCAACAAGCGCACAAGGAGCCCAGGAGCAATTATAGTGCATGCACGCAAGCAGGAGCAGCAGCAACAGCAGCAGCAGCAGCAGCAGCAGCAAGCGCACCTGACGTCTGGAAAGGGGTCTCCAAGTGCTGCTACTAGATGCAGCACAGCATTAGGCAGCAGCAAACCGAGGGGTCTGTACACCTGAAGCCTGGCATGCCGCCAGAAGGCGCTGCACCTCCAGATGCTCTCCGCTTTGCTGCTGCTGCTGCTGCTGCAGCTGCTGCTGCTGCCTTGAAGACCGGCGAGGATAACTGATTCCAGCACTGCCTGCGAGAGGAAACAGAAGATAGCAGCGGCTTGCTGCTGCTGCTGCTGCTCCTGCTCTTGCTGCTGCTCTTGCTCTCTTCCTAGGGTGAGCAGCAGTAACAGCAGCAGCAAAAGAAGTTGCAACAACAGCAGCATCAAAAACAGCAAACGCACCGGCCTTTCAGGGGCGCAAGCATCATTTAGCTGCAGCAGCAGATCCACTATAAGCCCTTCTTCCTTGCTGCTGTTGCAGCTGCTGCTGCTGCTGCTGCTGCCTAGGCAATCCCAAAGCGTCGTTGCCACGCGCTGCAGCAGCAACACAAATAGCAGCAGCAACACACAGCTGCAGCAGAGCCCAATGAGGAAACAGCAGCAGCAGCAGCAGAGACAGCAGCAGCAACCGAGCAGCAACTGCAGCAGCAGGACAGCTGAGGTGTACAGGCAGCTCTCAACAGACCAGGCACTCGTCGGTAGCGCAAATGAGACGTCTTCTGCTGCTGCTGTTGTTGCTGCTGCTGTTGCTGCTGTTGGCCCTGCTGCTGCTGCTGCTCTTCAATATGGAGATGTATGTTTGTGCTGCTCTGCAGCAAACTGAAAACCGAGGGGACGTTGCGCAGTCTAGCAGTGCTAGCAGCCACGGTGGGAGGCTGCTGCTGCTGCTGCTGTTGCTGCTGCTGCTGCTGCTGAGTACTTCCTCTTCAATAAAACACTGCAACTCCACAAGCGGCGCCTGCGTCCTCACCAAACAAGAGACATTAGCCCTGCCTAAACCCTAAACCCTAAACCCTAAACCCTCAGTCTCAGCGTGCCTCATCAACCCAACCTCTAAAGTGAAGCAACTCCAGGCAGCAGCAACAGCAGCAGCAGCAGCAGCAGACCAGCACGGAGAAGAGTGTGTCTAGTGCCGGTGTTGCTGCTTCCTCCATCGCCAGCAGCTGCAAGAGAAGGGTCTCCACGTGGGCTAGAAAGCTGCTGATTGCATGCAGCAGCTGCTGCAGCTGCAGCAGCAACTGCTGCAACGACGGCTGCATCGCATCCTGACTCCCTGAAAGCTCGGAGGAAGCAGCAACAGCAGCAGCAGCAGCAGCACTGAACGCTGCTGCTGCAGCTGTTCCTTCAGCTGCAGCTACAGAGGTATTGTCTTGTGCAGCATTAGCTGCTGTATCATCCTGCAGCGGAGCAGCATCTGCAGCAGCAGTTGCTGCTGCTGCTGCTGTTGCTGCTTCTTCACTGAGCGTTGTGTGGGGCGCAGCAGCAGCAAGACTCTGCAGCAGCAGCAGCAGCTCCTTGTTGCACCTCAAGGCCCGCAGACGCCGGAGACAGCCGACCGCTTGCTGCAGCAGCGGCCGCACGAGAGGCAGCTGCTGCAGCGTAGGCGCAATCGTGCAGCACCCCTCTGCAGCAGCAGCAGCAGCAGCAGAAGCAGCAGCAAGCAGTGTCAGCAGTGCTGTGTCGTCGCTGTGGCACGAAAGGTCGCTTGCTGAAAATGCGTTTAGGGTTTAGGGTTTAGGGTTTAGGGTTTTATGCCTCACCAAGAACAAGGGTTAGCAGCTGAGCAAACCCATGCAGTGTCTGTACACCGCAGATTGCTGCTGCGTCTGCTGCACCACTAGCAGCAGCAGCAGCAGCAAGAGGCGCAACAATACGGTCCGCAAACAGCGCAGCCAGCTGCAAGACCTCTTGTGCTGCTGCTGCTGCTGCTGCTGCTGCCTCATGCTTTCCTGCGTCTCCTGGAAGCCCTCCAGCAAGACCTCCTCCACCAAGTTGCTGCTGCTGCTGCTGCGCCTCCTGCTCGTGTGGCAGCAGGTGTTGCTGCAGCAAGAGCTGCTGTTGCTGCAGCTGGAGCTCGTGCTGCAGCAGCTGCTGCTGGACCGACAGCTGCTGCTGCTGCTGCTGCTGCAGCTGCTGCAGCAGCACGAGACGAAGTCTCTCCGCTAATGCACTCCAAACCATGTCTGGGGGCGTCAGGCGTAAATGAAAGACGTGCTGCGCCTCCTGTAGACAAGCTGAGCCCCACTCAGGGTTGCTGCACTCCCTGCAGCAGCAGCAGCAGCAGCAAAAAAAGCAGCACCGAATCAGCAGCAGCAGCAGCACCCGCATCAGCAGCTGTGCAGATATTGCAGCACGGGTGGCAGCAGCAGCAGCAGCAGCACCCGCAGAAGCATCAGCAGCAGTCGCATCAGCAGCAAAAGCCCCTGCCTCAGCAGCAGCAGCAGCAGCAGCAGCAGCAGCAGCAGCAGTACCTGTGCAGATACTGCAGCACGGGGGCTGAGAGGTGGGGCATAAGCTGTTCTGCTGCTCCCTCAAATTCATCATCACCAATGAAGACGAACAGAGCCTTCAGCGGCAGCAAAGCAGCAGCACGTGTAGCGGGAAGAGGCAGCAAAGAAGAAGTAATAGAGCGCAGCAAATAGGGCTTCGCCTGACTCACACAAACCCTAAACCCTAAACCCTAAACCCTAAACCCTCAGTCCTAAACCCTAAACCCTAAACCCTCAACCCTAAACCCTAGGGCAGAAGGAATATAGACCTCCAGATGGATATCTAAGCAGCAAGAGCAGCAGCACCTCCAGCAGCAGCAGCAGCAGCAGCACCTACATGAAGGCCGAAATCAGCAGCAGCAGCATCATCCGCACTCCTTTCTGTTTGTGCTGTTAGCCAGCGCACAGCCCTTCGAGTTAAAGACCAGTCTTGCTGCGGCAGCAGCCGCCACACAGCCGATACAAGCCGCACCTACGCGCAAACCCTAAACCCTAAACCCTAAACCCTAAGCCCTAATAGACCCTAATAAGATCTAATATGCTCTAAACCCTCAGGATTAAACAAGAAACAACAAACGAGGAACAATCACCGAGAGATTATAAACCATCTAATCATATCTACGCAATAAACGCTAAACCCTAAACCCTAAACCCTCAACAGTAAACCCTAATAAACCCTAAATCCTAAACCCTAAACCCTAAGCGCCCCCCAAAACCGTCAGCAGAACAAAGCAGCAACAGTCATCTTCAATAAACCAGCAACAACAACAACAGCAGCAGCAGCAGCAGCAGCAGCTACGACAGCAGCAGCAACACAACCATCACCACCAGTACTGCAACTATTAGCAGCTGGATCAGCAGCAACGGGAGAAGCAGCCGCAGCAGCAGCAGCAGCAGCAGGAGTAGCTTCACCGTTTCTGTGTCAGTAAGGATAGAGTTGCTGAGCGGCAGTTGCTGCAGCAGCAAATCTAAGACCTCCCTTGCAACGAGACGATTTGTGTCTCCTAAGGCTGCCTCCAGTGCACCAACTACCAAACGGGGACGGTCAGGCAGCAGCAAAGCAACCTGTCTCTGAACAGCAGCAGCAGCAGCAGCAGCAGCAGCTATAAAAGCAGCAGCACCTTCCGCAGAAGTGCGGTGCAGCAGAAAACAGCAGACAAAACACCAACCGACAAATCGATGCCACAGTAGCAGCAGCAGCAACGACACCGCAGGTTGCTGCTGCTGCTGCAGCAGCAGCAACAGCAGCAACCAGTGCAACAGCAGCAGCAACAAACCCACTACCCCAAGCACACCCACACAGCCATCAGCACCGACATCAAACCAACAGCAACAGAAACAGCTGCAGCAACGGCTGCAGCTGCAACAGCAGCAACTAACCAAACAACAACAACAGCAACAACAACAACAGCAACAACAGCAGCAGCAACAACAGCAACAGCAACAGCAGCAGCAGCAGCAGCATTGTATGTATCATACCGGTGGCTGCTGTGCAAGAGGGGGATTGAGTAATTTTGAAATAAGGCGAAGTGCCGGGGTTCGAACGCGTGCGGCGCGAAGGAGGGAGGTCCAAAGTGCAGCAGCAAAGGGCCCCAAGCCAACAGCGTGCTGCAGCTTGTTTGCTGTTGCAGCAGCAAAGCTTGATGTTGCTGCTTTCTCCTCCTCCATGCATAGCAGCAGAGACACCACAAGCCCAGAGAGACAAGGAAGCAGCTGAGGCCCTGCAGCACAAATTAAATAAAACCCAAGTGCGAATTAAAGCTTTTAAATAAAATAATAATACGCTTATTGCTGCTGCTACTGCTGCCCATAGAGACAGACTAAGAGACACACAGAGACACAGAGACAGAGACAGAGAGACAGAGAGAGACACACAGAGACACAGAGAGACAGAGAGAGACAGACAGACACAGAGAGAGACAGAGAGAGAGAGAGAGAAAGAGAGACAGAGACAGAGACAGAGAGAGACAGAAGAAGAGAGAGAGAGGAGGTTAGAGAGAGAGAGATAGGTAGACAAAGACAGACAGAGACAGAGACAGAAGAAGAGAGAGAGAGAGAGAGAGAGAGAGAGAGAGAGAGAGAGAGAGAGAGAGAGAGAGAGAGAGAGTAAGCGAGAGATAGACAGAGAGAGAGAGAGAGAGAGAGAGAGAGAGAGAGAGAGACAGAGAGAGATAGAGACAGAGAGACAAAGGAGACAGCGCCAGCAAGCACTTAAAAATGCGTTTTCTTTCTTTCATCAGCAGCAGCAAATCAAACAAACAGCAGCAGCAGCAAATCAAACCCAAGCAGCAGCAGCAATTCAAACCCAAGCAGCAGCAGCAGGAGCAGCAGCAGCAGCAGCAGCAGGAGCAGGAGCAGGAGCAGGAGCAGGAGCAGGAGCAGGAGCAGCAGGAGCAGGAGCAGCAGCAGAAGGAGCTTGCTGCATACCTAGAGGTAAGAAGAAGCAGTTTAAAATATGTAAATAGAAGGGCTTTAGATGTGCAGCAGCATCAACAGAGAAAGGCAGCAAACTGCACGACCATAGAGACAAATCTCGCGATAAACCCGAGGGCCCCAGCCTCCTCAATATAAATACAAACGCCTCCAGCGCAAGTGCATGTACACCCGAAGGAAGCTGTGGGTTCAAACACTGCAGCAAATCAAACGCAAACACAAACAGCAGCAGCAGCAGCAGCAACAGCAGCAGGAGTTGCAGTAGTAGTAGTAGTAGTAGCAGTAGTAGAAGCAGCAAATCAAACAAACAGCAGCGCCCGCAGCGGCAAATCAAACACAAACAGCAGCAGCAGTAGTAGCAGTAGTAGCAGCAGCAGCAGCAAATCAAGCACCAACAGCAGCAAACCATAAAATGCAATAAAGCAACAGCAGCAAGAACAAAACAAGCAGCAGCAAACACACCAGCAGCAGCATCAGCAGCAAACGAAAGAAGCAGCAGCAGCAACAACAGCAACAGCAGCAGCAGCAACAGCAGCAGCAGCAGCATCAGCAGCAGCAGCAGCAGGTGTACTTGCGCTAGGCGTTTGGAGACAGTGAGCCTGTGGGGTATAAATCGAAGAGAAGGAGACAGAGGGCGCTTCAGCACCTGAAAAGATAAAAATAATAAAAAGATAAAAATAATAAAAAGATAAAAATAATAAAGAGTTAAAAAATAATAAAAAGAGTTAAAAATAATAAAGCGATTAAAATAATAAAAAGAGACTAAAATAATAAAGAGACAGAAATAATAAAAAGATGCAGGAGGAGACGAAAATAATAAAAAAATAATAAAAGACAAAAATAATAAAGAGACAGAGAAAAACAGAGACAGAGACAGAGAGAGAGAGATAGAGAGAGACAGAGACAGAGACAGAGACAGAGACAGAGACAGAGAGAGAGAGAGACAGAGACAGAGACAGAGAGAGACAGAGACAGAGACAGAGAGAGAGAGAGATAGAGAGAGACAGAGACAGAGACAGAAAGAGACAGAGACAGAGACAGAGAGAAAGAGAGAGAAGACAGAGACAACGAAAAGACAGAGACAAGAAGAAAAAGCATAAGGAAGCGGCAACAGAGGATGCAAACAAGGGTTTAGGGTTTAGGGTTTAGACCTTAGACATATGTTTCGGCTTATTGTTGAGGGTTTAGGATCTTTTCAATAACCCTAAACCCTAAACCCCAACGCTTAAAGTTTACGGTTAAGACTTTACTGTTGATTGTTTATTGCTGATTGTTGATTGTGTAGGGTTTACTGTTTGTTTATTTATAAGGTCTAGGGTTTAGGGTTTAGGGTCCAGGGTTCACAATTGTTAAGGGTTTAGGGTTATTAAGGGTTTAGGGTTTAGGGTTATTAAGGGTTTAGGTTTATTAAGGGTTTAGGGTTATTAAGGGTTTAGGTTTATTAAGGGTTTAGGGTTTAGGGTTATTAGGAGTAATAAAGGGTTATAAAGGGTTATTAAGGGTTATAAAGGGTTATTAAAGGTTATAAAGGGTTATAAAGGGTTACTAAGGGTTTTTAAGGGCTATTAAGGGTTATTAAGGCTTTAGGGTTTAGGGTTTAGGGTTTAGGGTTTGCCTTGATGAGGCGCTGCAGACAGCTTCCTAGGTCAGCCCATTCTTTTGCTCTGTCGAAGGCAGACAACACCGACAAAACGTCCAGCGAGAATCTTTTTACTTCTGCTGAAACAAACAAACAAACAAATGATTTTATTTAATTTAATTAATTTGTTTTATTTTATTTTATTTTATTTTATTTTATTTTATTTTATTTTATTTTATTTTATTTAATTAATTTTTTGTTTTGATTCGATTTGGTTTAATTTTGTTTTATTTTATCTTATTTAATTAATTTGTTTGATTTAATATTATTTGATTTGGTTTAGTCTAATTTAACTTGACTTAATTCAATCTAATTTTATTTTATTTTGATTTGATTTAATTTAATTTAATTTAATTTAATTTAGCTGAAAGGATGTTGAGGAGATTAAAAGAAATAAAAAAGAATTAAAGAAGAGATAAAAGAATATCAAAAGAAATTAAAAAAAATATTAAAATATTTTTAGGTATTAAAATTAAAATTAATAAAAAATAAAACAGATAAACATAAACTAGACTGAAAATAAAACAAATTAAAACAAATTAATTAAAGAGATTAAAAGAAGTTAATTAAATAGATTAATTAAAGAGATTAAAAGAATTTAATTAAATAGATTAATTAAAGAGATTAATTAAATATATTAAAAGAGATTAACTAAATAGATTAATTAAAGAGATTAATTAAATAGATTAAAACAAATTAATTAAAGAGATTAATTAAATATATTAAAAGAGATTAGTTAAAGAGATTAATTAAATAGATTAAGTAAAGAGATTAATTAAATATATTAAAAGAGATTAATTAAAGAAATTAATTAAAGAGATAAAAATTAATTAAAAGAAATAAAAAAGAATAAAAGACAATAGAAAGAGACAGAAGGAGACAAACAGGAGACAAAGGATTATTAATAAATAAATAAATAAATAAATAATTAAGTTTAAAAATAAATTAATTAATTAAAAAGATTAAAGGAAGTAAAGAGACAATAAACAAATAAACAAACAAAAACAAAAACAAATAAACAAAAAATAAAAATAAAAGAAGATCAAAAGAAATAAAAAAGCAAATAGAGATAGAGACAGACAGAGACAGACAGAGAAAATAATAAAATAAATATATTTAATAATAAAACTACAATAAGGAGACAGACAGACAAATAAATAAAAAGAAAGACAGAGAGAGAGAGAGACAAACAGAGACAGAAATAAAGAGACAGAGAGACAGAAAGATAGAAAGAAAAATAAAGAGACAGAGACAGAAAGAGAGAGAGAGAGAGAGACAGAGAGAGGGACAGACAGAGAGAGAGAGACAGAGAGAGAGAGAGACAGACAGAGAGAGACAGAGAGAGAGAGAGAGAGACACAGAGAGAGACAGAGAGAGAGACAGAGAGAGAGAGAGACAGAGAGACAGAGACAGAGAGAGAGAAGTAGAGAGAGATATCTAGATGAAGAGAGAGAGAGACAGAAACAGAGGTAAGCATACAGAGAGACAGATAAAGAAAAAAAGATAGAGAGGCAAAGCTATTTATAAAGATAAAGCCGCATGCATTGAAGGAGACAGAGACAAAACAAGAAGGAAGCAGAGAAATAAAAAAAAAACAGCGAGGCGAAGAGACAGCAAACAGCAGCACAAAAGAGAGATTCAGAGACAGCAGCAGCAGATAAAAGAAGCAGCAACTTTGCCTTCAATGCCGATGGTCTAGGGTTAAGGGTTTAGGGTTTAGGGTTTAGGGTTTAGGGTTTTGAGTGCCTACCATCTTCGCCCCCCCCTGAAACCGCCAGCGGAGCCAACATACTCCCTGGGGTGTACAGACACGGTAGCTGCTGCTGTTCGTGCTGTTGCTGCTGCTGTTGCTGCTGCCTCTGCTTGTGTTGCTGCTTGGTTTGCTGCTGCTGCTGATGTCTAACGAGGCGGTCTCGTGCAGCAGTTGCTGCTGCTGCCGTTGCTGCCGCTGTTGCCCCTGCTGTTGCTGCTGTTGCCTCGGCTCATGCAGCTTCTACGACAGCAGCTGCATCGGTTTGCTGCTGTTGCTGCTGCTGCTGCTGGGAGAACCGTGCAGTTTGCTGCAGTCAACTGCCCGCAGCAGCAGCAGCAGCAGCAGCAGCAGCAGGTGTCTTCGTCAGCTGCTTGTATTCTCACGCTGCTCCTCCTGTTCGTCCATTAACTGTGGCAGCAGCTGCTGCTGCTGCTGGTGCTGAGCTGTGCTGCTGCAGCAGTAGCAGCACTACAAGCAGCAGCAGCAGCAGCAGCAGCAGCAGCAGGATGTCTATGTCGTTGACCCTTACTGTCTATAGACTGCTGCAACTGCAGCAAGACATTCTTGCTGCTCTAGCAAACTGTTTCTTTACTTGCTGTTGCTGCTGCTCTCTCAGGGGCCCTAGGGCCCTCATCAACCTAAGGGGCCTCCTTGGGCTCTGGACCGCTGCTGCTGCTGCTGCTGCTGCTGCTGCTATGCATTGCTGCTACTGCTGCTGCAGTGTTTCTTGTCCTTTATAATTATTGTTTTCTGTTTATTGTCTGGTTAAGTTAATCTTTTATAACAGTGGGCGGTTGGTTCAGCAGCTACAGCGTAGCTGTTTGCTGTTGTTTCAGAGACTGCTGCTGCTGCTGCTGCTGCTGCTGCAACGATCTGTACCACACAGCAGCAGCAGCAGCAGCAGCACTGTTTCTAAAGCAGCAGCGTCACTGTTTTATGTTGTGTTTAGCTTCTAACTACCCCGGCGGCCTCTCGATTCTAAGCAGCAGCAGCAGCAGCAGCACACAGCAGCAGCAGCAGCAGCAGCAGCAAGAGCTGCGTCGCCATGGCGGGCGATGGCGCAACATGTGCAGCTGCTCCAGCAGCAGCAGCGGATGATGCAGCAGCAAGCTCTTCAGCTGAGGAGGCTGCGGGCTCCCCACCGGCAGCAGCAGCAGCAGCGGGAGCACCTGCAGCAGCAACATCAGAAGCAGCAGCAGCAGCAGAGTTCTCCGCTTCTTCTGGTGATGAACTTGCTGTAGATCTGCATGCAAGGGAGACGGGAGACTGCTTGGAGTGTCGTCAGCATCTGCTGTCCGTCTTAGCTGCTGTAGTTAAAGCTCTCGGACCCAACAGGCGCCCCTCTGCTGCTGCTGCAGCAGCTGCTGCTGCTGCTGCTGCAGCAGATCGCGAAGCTGCTGCAGCAGATGAAGCAGCAGAGGCTGCAGAACGAGAAGCAGAAGCAGCAGCAATAGAGGCAGAAAGACTCCGAGGGAAGGAGGGTGCAGCAGCAACAGCAGCAGCAGCAGCTGCTGCTGCTGCCGCGGAGGCAGCAGAGAAAGCAGAAGCAAGTGCAGCAGCAGCAGCAGAAGCAGCAGCAGCAGCAGAGACAGTTGAAGCAGATCATATGGATGGGTTTGTCTCCGTGTCTCTAGAGGAGCTGCAGCTGCTAGCAGAATCAGCAGGAGACCCGACTCAAGCAGCAGCATTGCTGCAGCACAATGCAGCAGAGTTGCTGCTGCTGCTGCTGCAGCAGTGGGTGCTGCCAGGCTTGGAGAGCCTTTCCGCTGCTGCTTCTCAGCAGCAACAGCAGCAACAACAGCAGCAGCAAGGCCAGCCTGCTGCTGTTGTTGCTGTCGCACGAAGGCTGCAACGAGTTAGCAGAACGGCAGGTGTATCTGCAGCAACAATAACAGAGCTGCTGCTGACAGCAGCAGCAAATCTGGTTTCTTTCACCCCAAGTGCAGAGGACTTCAAGCGAGAAGCAACAGTTGCTTCTGCTGCTGCTGCTGCACTTGCTGCGTCTCTCCCTCTTGCTGCTGATGTATTTGCTGCTGCTGTGCTCAGCTGTACGCATGCAGGAGCCTTGAAGGAAGCGTTTAGGGGTTTATCTGCTACTCTAAGCTTGCGGCAGCAGGAGCAGCAGCAGCAGCAGCAGGATCCTGAGCAGCAGCAACAGCAGCAGCAGCAGCCGCAGTACACGCTGCAGCAGCAGCTGCAAGGAGCAAGGGACAGGCGGCTGCTGCTGCTACGCACAGCCCCAACTGCAGCAGCAGCAGCAGATTTGCTGTCGCGGTGTATGTATGTGCTGCGGCAGGCTCTACATGAGCCGCTGCTGAGTGCAGCAGCACATTGCGTTGCTTTGCTGCTGGCTGCTAGCGATATGGATATGACAGCAGCAGCAAACTTTGCTGCTGCAGCAGCAAAAGCAGCAGCAAAAGCTAAGGGGGAAGTAGCAGTGCCTACCGAAGAGGAAGTACTGGGGGCGACACCTCCGCTGCTGCTGCTGCTGCGGCAGCAGCACCAGCAGCAAATGCTGCTGCTTATCACAATTGAGAGAGCAGCAGAATTGCTAAGGACCCCCTTGCTCCCATCAACTGCTGCTGCTCCTGCTGTATCCTTAGACATATCTCCTCAAGAAAGAGCAGAGAACTTCTTGCTGCAGTTGTGGCAGCAAGTGCAGCAGCAGCAGCAGCAGCTGCTGGATGAGGAGAACAGCAACACGTTGGCTTCCTTGCTGCTGCTCTGTGCTGATCTCCTTAAAGGAGACCCTGGTTTGCTGCTGCAGGGGCCCCCTAAGGGGCCCCCTAACCCTATGGGTGCTGCTGAGATGCTGATACAGATCTGCTGCTGCAGCTGCTGCTGCTGCAGCAGCGATACCGCCCTAGAAGCAGCTCTGCTGCTGCACTTTGTTTTATTCGAGAACAACGAGAACACAGGAATAAAACCTCAGGAGTTTGGAGGCATCACAACTCGCCTAGCAGCAGAGTCTCGCTGCAGCGACAGCATCGACAGCAGCAGCAGCAGCAGCAGCAGCAGCAGCAGTGCGAGCAGCGGCAGCGGAAGCAGCGATAATAACAAAATCTGCAGCAAACACACCAGCAGCCGCAAAGACAACAGCAGCGATGACGGAGGAGAGAAGAAATACAATAAACCTTCCTGCAAGAAAGAAGCAGCAGCAGCAGAACCAGCAGCAGCAGAACCAGCAGCAGCAGAACCAGCACCAGAAACCCCAGCAGCAGCAGCAGCAGCGGCAGCAGCAGCAGAACCAGCAGCCCCAGAAGCAGCACCATCAGCGTCCGGGGGCGGCACAACAACGCCAGCAGCAACCAGCAGCAGCAGCAGCAGCAGCAGCAGCAGCAGCGGCAGCAGCAGCAGCGAGGTGCAGGCATTAGCGCGGCAGGTGATGGCAGCATCTGTAGCATACTTCCGCAGTTTGCTGCAGTCTCCTGTGGGCCCCGACATCATAGAGCGCTCGCTGCTGCTGCTGCAGCAGCAACCTGAGTACAGCACTGAACCTGAAAGAGCTGCTTCGGTGCTGCTGCTGCTGCAGCACTCCAGGGAGGAGCAGCTAGAGATACACAGGCCCGAGGTACGCCGCCTCATTCGATTTCTTGAAGAGCAGCAAGAATAAGTTGCTGCTGCTGCAGTTGCTGCTGCAGTTGCTGCTGCTCTAGTTGCAGTTGCTGCTGCTACGGGAGCTGCTGCAGTTGCTGCTGGAACTGCTGCAGTTAGTGCTGCATCTTGTACCGCTGAAGGTGCTGTTGCTGGAGCAGCAGCAGCTGCTGCTGCTGCAGCTGCTGCTGCAGCTGCTGCTGCTAGCCGACGCAGCGAGGCGGAAGCCGTTATTATATTTGCAGCGCGAGGAGTGCGTGCTGAGGTGTACATGCACCCGAGAGCAGCAGCAGCAAATCGCAGAGGGGTAGTATTAGACAACAAGACAACCTTAAAGAGAAAACCCCACACATGCAGCAGCAGCAACAGCAGCAACAGCAGCAGCAGCAGGAGCAGCAGCAGCAGGAACAGGAGCAGTAGCAGCTGCAGCAGCAGAGGCAGCAACCGCAGCAGCAGCAGCAGCTGCAGCTGCTGCTGCACACTACCAGGACTTCATGCAGCACTGCGGTTTGCGTACACCCCAAGGACTCAGCAGCAATACTAGCAGCATCAGCAGCAGCAACAGCAGCAGCAAGGGCGTGAAGTGGGATGGGTTTTAGGGTTTAGGGTTTAGGGTTTGCATGCAAGGTCAAGGTGCATCTCCTTCTCCTCCTTGCACAGCTCTGAGTTGGGCAGCA